CTGTTCCGTCCAAACACTGTTGAAGCAAGAGGCAGATCCAGGACCGCGAGGGCACTGCCTATATGTCCCATTTTATGGACAGGGAAATAGATGAGTGACCTAAAGCTACATAGCTATCAATGATAACTGGGAGTGGAACCACATCAGCCTGACTCTAAAGCCCACACGCGGGAATTCGCAGGTACCACACACACCTTTCCTACACATAAGTCCAAAGTGTTCTGGGTGACCTTAACAAGAGCTACTAAGCCATCTACCATTAAGGGCCTATACTCACCAGGAGGATCAAACCAGTGTCCACTGTTCAATGCATCCCCTACCCTGAACCCAGGCAAGGAACACTACCAAGTCCTCACTCTGTGGGAACCAATTTTACAGATGCCGTACACCACTCCACCATTCGGTTAGCACAGCCTTTCCTCAAAAGACATATAATTTCTTTTTAAAGGAGGGAAGCCTGATCTAACAATAAAAATGTACCAGGTAAGACCCAGATAATCACTAATGGAATATTGCTATCGGCCCCAACTTCCTAAAAATACTAGACTAGCCCTAGCTGGTTTGGCTCAATGGGTAGAGCATCAGCCTGCGGACTGAAGGGTTCTGGGTTAGATTCCGGTCAAGGCCACATGCCCTGGTTGTGGGCTCGGTCCCCAGTAGGGTGTGTGTGTGTGTGTGTGTGCAGGAGGCAGCCAATCAATGATTCTCTCTCATCATTGATATTTCTATCTTTCTCTCCTTCTCCTTTCCTCTCTGAAATCAATAAAAACATATTTTAAAATAAAAATAAAAATACCAGACTGGAGAATGTGAGTGAGGGGCAAACATTCTTCCCCGTGACAAAGCACCAGGTATGTTCCATTTTAATCCAAGGACACAAATTAAATAAACAAAAGCTAGATGAAATTATCATTGCCGAAAAGAACTAATCTTTTGTTGTTGTTAAAATAGGTGTTAGAGTCTAAGAAAGATAATTATTTTGCAGCTTAGGTCCCAAAATAAATCTGAATGATTTCCTAACTTAGAAGAAGTGTCCATCAGACCCTGGTTTCAAATATCCACCAAAGCAAAACGAGTTTTAGTAATGGCACTGGCGAGGCTTCCCACCATCCGTAACACCCAACTCAAACGTACAAAGCTCAGCCCTAGCCGGTTTGGCTCAGTGGATAGAGCGTTGGCCTGAGGACTGGAGGGTCCCAGGTTCGATTCTGGCCAAGGGCACATGCCCAGGTTGCGGGCTTGATCCCCAGTAGAGGGCATGCAGGGGGCAGCCGATCGATGATTCTCATCATTGATGTTTCTACCTCTCTCCTTCTCCCTTCCTCTCTGAAATAAATAAAAATATATTTTTTTAAAACGTACAAAGCTCAAAATGGAAGTTTTGACAGTTATAAGGACATACAATTCCTACAGCTACAGGTTTTAATCTGCAGAAGGGGCATGCTGCTGGTGCTCACTCCAGGAGGCACCTGAGATTGGATTCTAATCTTAACCAATATTTAACAATAAACTAATTCACACAACTCCAAGACCTTTAAGGATGATATAAAATGTTTTCTGATCTCTGAACAGAAATCATAACACTCTTTCTAGCATTAAGGACCACAAAATGGCCACAAAACCCTTGGAATCAATCGGAATGGCTTCATGATAGTATCTACCATGAATTGAAAACCCACTATATGCCAAGTGATCTATACACACTATTCCAAGTAATGGCTTGATTGAAAGATAACTTGGCAACAGTTACCAAAAGCCTTCCAAACGACCTGACAATTCCATAAGAATTTATCCTGAGAAAATATTCAGAAATGAAGAGAAAGCCTTAAATATATAGATATCCATATATGTTACCCATAACTGCTTCTAATTTCCCCCAATTCCATTACCCAGACATAGAGAAATTGTTAAATAAATTGTAGTACATCTATATGATGGCATATCATTTAGCCATTACAGTAATGAATTTGAAGAATTTATAATATATAGGAAAATGCTGACAATGTAGTGTTGGCTGAAGCTATTGTTTATACAGTTCAGGCCATGTTTAAAAAACACATTTTAACTATATAACGGGAAGAAAAGACTTTAAAAAATACATTAAAAAGTAAACTGCAGTTATCTAAAAGTTAAGAGGTAATAAGTAATTGGGTTCTTAATGTTACAAATTTTCTATAATGACTACATAGTATTTATCAAGGGGAAAAAAATACATGAACATTACCTGCAAAACTAAACATACCCAAACCAGCTACAATAGAAAATTTCAGTTTCCACTGGTTTAAAATAGTATTTTACAAACCACAACTCATGCTGTGTGCAGAGCTGCGTTTCCAGGATCATACAGTTATTGCTATTATTTGGCATTTAAATGTCTTTCATTTGAGAGTCCTTAGACATTTCGCACCCTCTTTACCACATGCCACCTACAGGGGTAAATTATAACAGTGTTTCAAAAATACAGACATTAAAGTGAAGCTAAGTTCAATAACTGTTTGAAGTTTGCCCAGCCAGGTCAAACAGAGCCATGTCTGGCCTCTAAGCCCACACTTGTATTAAGAGATGGAACACACCCAGCTTCAGTCACATGTACAGTAGAGATGGCTTCTATTCTAAATTTGTTATCATCACGTTATACCTACTATAATCAGACCAGAGATGTTAAAAATTAACACCTTTTCCAAGTGTTTGCTTATGCACAGTTGAAGTTGTTGTGAAAGACTGAATTCTAAACCAGTAATCCTCAATGCAAGGTAATATTTTAAGGATGTAGAAAGAAAACAGAAAAAATATTAGAATTTCCATTTCATTTTTATCCTTCTTTAAATTCTATTCTGTACATTATAAACAGGCACAGAAAATATTACTTCATGTATATGAAATTGATGTTTACAGTTATCAAATATGCAATATACATGCACATAACATTAGTTTGGGTATATAACTTATTTTATATCTTACATACATCACAAAGATGTTTCAGAACATTTTACCCAGAGGGATACATGACTGAAAAAGTATGGAGATCAGTGGTCTGGACACACAGTGACAGGACAGAATAGCCAGGAACATAAATATATATATTCCTTTTAGAAATGTAAGTGAAGGGTGAGAAAGGAGAAGGTAAATAAGAAGAACGAGGTAGAGACCAGAACAATGAGAGGGAGGAAGGGAAGATGAGTAACATGGGAGAATCCTGGGAGGTACACATGGGGGTACCTCAAGTGACCAAGGATCATCTATTTATGGGCAAAAACCATAATGATGTTTACTATTATGATTTGGTGAAAGGAAATGACTCAAGTGTCTAGGGTGGATTCCGTTCCTGCCTGATGGGCAAGCAACTAAAAGACAACCGACCACCAGACATCTTAAAATAGATACTGTGTTAGGTTACAATAAGGCCGACAGAACAGACTTGAAAAACAGGAGTTGTTTACAGCTATGTAATACAGGCTTAACACTAGCTGGAGCCCAGGCTTCCATATGCTAATATGGCTTAGGAGGGAAGTAAATGCCAAATGTTGACCTAGCGAATAAGAAAGAATTTGGAGTTAGACTTGTTGTTCAACTGGCAAGGTATTCCTAACATTCTAAGCTGGCAGAGAACAATGCCTGTTTTAACCATACAATTGTTTTTCAGCCTGACACCCTCTTTATTTAGATCTTGTTACGTCTGCCTTCTCCCAAGCCCTAATAACAACAAAATCAATTTACACTTTTAATTTTATTTCCCCTACCAGCTGGTGATTATCACCAGGGTAATACAACAGCCCCAGGGAGAACAGTGGGGGTTTAAAACCACCTTCAAAAATATGAGTTAAATTTCCCTCCCTATTTAAACTGTCCTTTCCCATTCTCCACCTGAGGGATTGATTGACAGGAACTGGGATCTCATAGAAGTTACAAAAAACCCTTCTTACCAATTTCTTTGTAGCTTTTGCCAAAATGCGTATTTGAGTCACACTGTGCGCCTTGAGATAAATTCTTTTTGATATTCAGCTTTATGCCAAAGTTCTGAAATTCACAGTGTAAAGGAACCAGACTCACTTCTGAAGAAAATATTAACCCATGTGTTTATGATATCACAGAGCAGAGCAAGCTGCAGTTGGGCAATAGTTTTTTGGAACTATTTCATAACTGCAGTAGGAAATCAAGATTTTACCTTCTGGGACCTTGGAGAACTTCTTCAATTTTCTTAATATTTTAGACTCATCAAGTCAGGATTTAAGTGTGAAAGCCACAGTGTTACTGTCTCCAATTCTGTTTGGTGGCAGCCCCAACGCATTCTGAGAATAAATTGCTTAGCTTATTTGAAAAATGTAAGAGCAGCTGAACTCCTACCCAGCAGGGTAGGGAATTGAGACATGCCAATCACAGAGCACACAGGCCATTTTTAAAGCAAAGATCCTCATAAAGCACCGAGCTTTGGACGGACCCAAACTCTCAATTGTGAACTGAAAGAGGGATTTTGGCCTACCGGGGAAGAAACCAGACACGCAAACAGTTTGAATTGCACTAATGACTGTTTTTTTGTTTTTAAAGAAATTTAACCAAACCAATGTGGTGGTGGGGGGGTGGGGGACGCATTTCTAAAGGCCTCAAAACAAGGCAGTGCCAGTTTCAAACTTTTTCCTTCACGGAGGAGTGCAAATTCGTATATTTAAAGGTAAATTGCGTTTCCTTAAGCAGGAACCCTCGCCAAAATGCAGATGGACAGCTACCGGGGATCCAAACTGGTATTTCAGGTTGGGGAAGCAGGATGCACGAACTCGTGCAGACCGAGGGCTTCTTCCTAGATGCACAACGACACCCCAAACCGGGGCTCTTCAAGGAGAACGGGCCGAAGAGCCAGGAGGCAGGGCGGGCCGCACGGCTGGCCACGCG